AAATAATTACTTTTGGTGCTGTAACAGATGCCTACAACATTCTGACGTAAACTCTATTTTTATGTACACCATCGATTCCTTATTATTCATTCAAACATCATTACCAAATGTTTGTGGACTCTATTTTTATGTACACCATCGATTCCTTACTTATTATTCATTCAAACATCATTACCAAATGTTTGTGTGTCAGATACTATACTTGACTCTTGAGAAAGGAAAATGAATACCAATATAGTAAAAAAAAAATCTTTCCTTGGAAAATTTCTATTCCAATTGTCTAACTGAATTTGTGAACAAATAATCAGTGTACTAAATCCCTACTAAAGTTGCCAAGATCAATGAAAACAAAGTAGAAAGAGAATGAGTTCAGCCTATAGGGACTGGAAATAGGAACATACTTGAAGAGAATGTTAAAAGGGTCGGTAGTATTCCCAGTGAAAGGGAGAGGGGTATTCCAGATTGAAAGAAAAATGCCAGGAGGCGAGTGTTTGGTCTACACTGAGGACGGGCCGAAACCGGCTTGGCTCGGTGGATAGAGCCTGCGGACTCAAAGGTCCCAGGTTCCATTCCGGTCAAGGGCATGTACTTGGGTTGCGGGCACATCCCCAGTAGGAGATGTGCAGGAGGCAGCTGATCGATGTTTCTCTCTCATAGATGTTTCTAACTCTCTATCTCTCTCCCTTCCTCTCTGTAAAAAATCAATAAAATATATTTAAAAAAAAATACACTGAGGACGGGATTATCCAATGGAATAACTGGTGATAAGAAATTAGTCACTAGGCAAGGCACATGTGCCTATTTAAATTTAAGATTAGAAATTCAGTTCTCAGTCATATTTCAAGTACTCAATAACCACGTATGTCAAGTCTCCCATATTGGACAGTGTAGAGAATTATCTCCATCATTGTATAGTTCTACTGGACAGCACTGTGTAGAAAAGTACAAGGTAAGCCTGTGGCAGTTCATGGAGAATCTAAAATGTATATGAGTGTTCAAACTTTAAGTAGAAATGGTTTATAAACTACTATAGTCTACAGTCCCTTCACAAATAGCCTGGGGGATTCCACCTGGGTGTACTTCTATGGCCTGTTTTACTAATCCAGCTTCTGCATTTGAGTAAGGTGTTGTTTTTTTTAAGAAAAAAATTCTGCAGCCTTAAAATAGCTAGCTAGCTAGATAGACTGGACACTTACTGTTATGGGTACCTGGAAATCACCATAGGTTTTTAAGCAGTGAAGTGACACCATGACACAGATTTGGATTTTAGAAATATTACCTCTTAGAGCAGCAAAAAAGAATGTGAGAAAAGACACCTGGTATTCCAAAATCAGTACAGACTAATGCCGTGGTAAGGACTAATTTCAGTGAAGCGTCTAAAGAAACAGACAATGAAGAATTTGCATCAGTAAATTTATTCCAAGTAAGGATCGCACACACACCAGGCATATTATTTCCACACAGAAACCAGCATTGCAATAGAACTATTTAACAATTTGGTCATGAAAATCAGAGACAAAAACTTCTCAAGGTATCTATTTTAAGTAACTGAGTTCTTTAATATTTGTAATCCAAGCATGTTCAATTACAATTTTTAAAATCTATCATATTTGTTCATTATTCATTATTCTTATTGTATATTTATAACATCTTTCCTGAAATTTTCATTTCCCAAATAAAACTTTTCATAACTTCAAAATAGCCATATGTACTTCTTAGTAGTACTATTGTAAAACCAAAATTTTTTCAAGTAGCAAGTGCTCAGGCCATCTGACCATAGATATAAGTGAGATCCATTTTTTAAATGGCTCTTACACTTCCTGTTCCTACTGTACTATGCCAACCATTACTTCACTGATATCCCAGAGTTTTCTTGCTACAGACTCATCCATGGCTTTCGGCAATAGTTCTTGCTCTTTACAATCCCCAAAAAACTTTCCTGACACACCTTCTACCTCCGGTGAAGAGGCTAAATAAACCGAAGTTTGGGCACCTTCTACTGGAGTTTTGAAAAAAGCCCAAGACACCAAATTGAAAAGTGGTTTGACCAGCAGTGGAATGTGCATGTGCCTCCCGAGGTTAGTCCGCACAATCCCAGGGTGCAGGACATTGACAGTGACCTTTGTGCCTTCTAGGCGGCGGGCGAGTTCCCTGGTGAAGAGGATGTTAGCCAGTTTGCTCCGACTATAACAAAAGCTTTTATTATAGCTTTGCTCACTGTTCAAGTCTTCAAAGTTGATGTCTCCATATTTATAAAGTTTGGAAGAAACTACCACCACCCTGCTGGGCGCTGAACTTTTGAGCAGTCCAAGGAGAAGATTGGTGAGCAAAAAGTGACCCAGATGGTTCACCCCAAACTGCATCTCAAACCCATCTTCGGTCTTCATGTAAGGGCACTGGAAGACCCCTGCATTATTGATCAAGACGTCCAGTCTAGGCTCTTCCTGTGAATGTCAAAAAGAGAACAGCAGAATTAATAGACACAGGCCTTAAATGTACCCAAAATAAAAATTTTAAAATTTCTTATGAACTACTAAAACTATAAAATGTCTATGAATTTTCAACAATTGACAAAGAACTAAAAAAGACTTGTATGCCTAATAGGGGCGTGGCCTTCTGCTTTTCACGTGTTATCTCATCTACTCTCAACAACATATAAGCAAACAGAAGCACTGAAGATCTGTGGTTTGTCCAGTATCACAGGCCTCCCAAGTGACAAACAAAAATCTGAAGATGGACGCTTCTGATTCCAGTGCCCGGGCTCTTAATTAGTAAGCCAGCTTGCTTTTCTAGTTGGGATTCTCAAATTAGAAAAGCTAGAGAGTTGATGTGCGCTGGAGAGTGGAAATACAGCAGAAGGTCAGTATTGTTTATTCTGAGCTGCCAGTATCAACACCAGGGGCAAGTTAGGATTGCTTTATTTTGTAGTTTTCTAAGGGTAAGTGGTACTGTGGGGATGGAGCAACTTCAAATTGTTTCCTTAAAATTAGGACAAGCAATAGAGTAGGACAGGGATATAAATTAAGGCCAGACAACATCATAAATAAGTCAAAGAAATATTTTTTAAAAAATGATCCAGGTAATATAAAAATGTCAGAAACAAGTCTAAATACTAAGTCTCACAATAACAGCAAAGGAGATTACCAGAGGAGATAGGATCAACAAACACCTTAAACTTGACAATGACTGGAAGTCATGTTCTTCTTCCCTATAGGGTGAAATCTACCTCTTTCAGGCTTCAAGGGGCTCTCAACTTAGATCTATATAGTCAGAACTTTGCACTGTGACCGGATCCTGCCACGTCTTTCCAGATTAAATTTAGACTGTTCTTAAAGGGAAGTCTTTTCATTTCGTAATTCATGGTAAGTTGATTTTCTCCAGCCCTGTCCTGGCTCCTCTCTGTCTCTTTTGATGGGCAGAGAAAAATAAATGTACAACATGTTCCAGGTGTAAAGACAGAGGGATGACCCACCATTGAATTAATTTGAGGTCAAATTTCAAATTTCACTGGCCCGTTTGCCAAGTGTAAGTGAAAAGAAAAATGTGTTAAATTTCACAACTGTATCAAAGCCTACCCGTCAGAGGATTAACTATTTCTCATTCTGTCTGTCTAAGCACCTTCAGCTTTTCCAATAGTCAGCTTCAAAAAGAAGGCAAAAGTTCACCCGTGGGGGAAAGAAAGGAGTGTTCTCTTTCAGTAATCCTTTGGAAGAGTTTCCTGTATTAATCATTTCTGAGCCATCATTCTTTGCTGGACTTGTGTTATTTTAAGACTTTATCATCTACTATTTTTTTTTTAAATTCTAGGAGATAAATGACATAAATACCAAGAATACCAACCTGTGGGAAATTTACATTTCCATTAAAAAAAAATTCTGATTATGGTCACTGAACTTGAGAGCCGGGAAGAAACTTAATACTTAGAAGCAAGGACAACTTAGTTATCTCTTTATCTCAACTTTTAATTGGTTCTGCTCCAAGTGGCCAAAGAAATAAAATACCAGATGTATTAGGAATAAGAATACCCAGCCACATCTTCATTTCAACGTCAAAGAGGGAGACCCACTTTTAATATTTCCAACATCTCTTCTGAGTATTATTCCTTATGCTTACCCTGTTTTTTCTGATAATGAAGTAGACATAAAAACAAACCAACAAACTCCCCCCTAACCTCTCCAGATCTGCAACAGCTCCCAAACTGTGCATCAGGATGCCCAGAGTCACAAGGAACTCCCAGGATCCTCTGGAATATTTTCAGTGCTCAAGGGAAACAGAGATACTCCGCTCAACATCTCAAAAGCGACTAGTTTCAGGTGGTTCACAGCTTCAACATTACGCTGTGCTCTCTCTTTTGAGGATGTCACATCTCTGCAAAGCTGTTTTTAGCAGCTGCTGTAAACAAGTGCATGTACAATGTTAAAAACCAATGTGGAACAAGAAATGAGGGTGGCAAAGTCCGATCTGATTCCAAAGTCAGAGGAGTGAACAACAGGTACACATTCCCTGTAGTAATTATGGTTACTGAAGAATGAAATGCGTATATCTTTTTTTTCCCTTTTCATTATGTACACTATTTTTTTCAAATAGTGACTACGTTGTTATGACATCAACACTTACTAGGTTATTTGAACCTAATTATTGAATAGAAATAAAATGGCAGATATTTCTTTTGGCCTCAGGGCATCATGGAATAAGAATAATAATAAAAAATCAGAAAGTCTGGGAACCTCTGCTCTAGACCTAAGATTCCGTTTCATACAGGCCCATTTCCTATGCCAGCGCCCTCTGCAGGAAGCCCTTCGATGTCAATGTCAATGTCGGGCATGCACTTCAGTGGAAAATTTACCATCTTTAAACCAAGACATCCTCCCGGTCCCTGGAGGGCAACAGGAATACAGGAGTTAAAAGCGAGGGCCCTGGAGACAGATCCTGGGCACCCAACTTGGCCTCCCTATGCCTTCATCGCCTTGTGTTGTAAAATGGGGATAACCCTGCCCACCTCACAGGGTTACTGTGGGGATTCCAGGACAAAAAAATAGCCAAGGGCACTTGCATCTCATTAATATATATATATATTGTATCTGAAATGCTTGGAACAAGCTCCTGGCACATCGGGCACCTTCCAATAAATGCCAGGTATTGCATATTTCCTTATTTCTGTCCCTGTTTCGAGCACGAGGCCGGCCGCTGGGATTCCAAGCTCCAGTTTATTTGTAAATGAGGCCGGATGGCGGTGAGGGGTGGTGCTAAGGAGTCCCCCGGGGGCCGAGCGCTGACCTCCTACCCGCGCGCGGGGAGGGGAAGGACACGGTTTTCCAAGGCCCTTGGCCAGCAGCCCCCTCCGTGCTCTCGGCTCCCTGGAAGGGGACGGCTCAGTCCACACGCACTTTGGACTCGCGAAAGGCCGAGCAGGGCCCTGGCGGGCCTCTTGGGCCGCCCGCGCTGGCCGAGGGGACATGCGCGCACACTGGCTTGCTGTCGCCGTGGGCTTATTTCCCGCTCAGCTTCCCTGGAAGACAGGACACGGCCCTTCCAACCCTCCCAGCTCGCGACTCCCCAGCCGCCCCCCAAAATCAGGGGATCGTTCCGTCACAC